AATATTATATAGCGTTATTGGAACGTTTGAAAGCCGAAATTGCAAAGAAACGACCACATATGGCAAAGAAAAAAAATGTGTTATCAAGAGAACGCACCGTGTCTCAAGTCAATCAAAATAATGGCAAAATAATATGATTTGAAATTCGAATTGCTCCCACATCCACCGTATTCGCCAGATTTAGCAACCAGCGACTACTGGCTGTTCGCAGACCTCAAAAAAATGCTCGAATGAAGAGATTATTGCTGAAACTGAGGCATATTTTGAGGCAAATATGGAATTATTGTGTAGCTCTTGATGGAAATTATGTTGATGAATATAGCCAATTTTGTCTGTTTTTGCTATTTATTGTTTTATAATTTGGAATACTGCTAATTCTTAGGAAATAAATGGAGCAGAGTGATAAAAGGAGATTACCCACGCAAAGGTTCCATTTTTGTGGGTTTCCTCAATTTATCACATCATCTGGTACATTTAATTTTTTAGAGAATATGTGTCCGCACATTGTATTGTATCCAAATTGAAATGTTTTGATATTTTCTTGTGTAAATAAATCATTATTATTATTATTATATAAAGCAAGATTCGTCGGTCTCTTGTAATTCAAAGTTGATCCATTTATTTCAATTTCCACACAATCTCATATTGAGGAGTCGGGTACCCCAGCTAGTAACAAATTCTAATAACAGATAAAATTAACTCAAACAGATTTATTTCATTTCAGGTTATTTTTGCTTAATATATTTGTTATTTTCAGCTATTCATTTCTAATTCTTCTTTTTTAGTTGTTTTAGGGATTTCAAATCATTTTATATATAAGACAATGGAAATCCGAACTAGTGAAATTCAAACAGAAGTACGTTCACAGCTATCAATTTTAATTTTGAAATAGTTAAATATATATCTACCTGAAGACAATGCAAAACAAAAATAAGACATCAAACTTCAAAGTGATTCACGAGTACTACGTAGAACAAAACTTTTCTTTTTCACGCGTGTCGCATCGGTTGTCACGTTGCTTGAATTCATTTTCTCGCGCGATAGTTTTGAAACTCCTAAAATATTTGAATTGTGTAATGTAAACGGTAGAAAAAATAGTAAAACAACTTTTATAGGCAATCACATCAACAATTTCCGTATTACCTACGTATTTGGCTGTTGGGGATTATGCTCAGAATAATATGTAATGTCACTGTTTGAAATGGTTTTCACAATTCGAGAACATTTTTGATGCATGCTGTGAGCATTATACCCTAAATAATGATAATCAATAATTATTTGCAGAATAGTAAAATCTTGGTGGAGATTTTGGAAGTTGCAAAGATATATTTTAGCGTACCTGGCCTTTTTTGGATACTTCATTTGTTATTCCTTAAGAGTGAACTTGAGCATCGCTATCGTAGCAATGACAGAACTAAAGAACATCACTTTGGAAAATGGTACCATTATACAAGTAAGTGAACAGAAAAAGTATTTGGTAAGTATTAAGACTTAATATGAACACAAAATAGCATAGTCGTATTAGTCAAGATTGTGTTATCAATAATTATTTTGTAACCATAAAATTTCAAAATCGATATATTCTACTATACCTGAAAACATATAACAAAACTTTTGTTTGAAGGCGGTTGACAATGGTTCGTGGTGTATTTCATCAGTTCGGACTTGTCTGATATAATATAATCTGATTTAAAATTCCTGAAAAAATATCAAAAAGATTAACCGAAAATAACAATTTTATTTGAACAAAAAGACTGAAATTACAAAGAAATAACATAAAACCAAACAACAAACAAAAATGCTGAAAATTAAAAATGATTATTAACAGAAAATGAAAAATAAAAATAAAAATTGAAAGATTTCAAACCAAGTTATGTCACGACGTTCCGATTGTTAGTATCCACAATCGTCTTCGGGTGATAACTGGACTTATTCCTCCGAGATCCGACTATTTATAAGCCATTTGAGTGCTTTCACCTATCTTCTCTTCTCTCTCTGCGCTTCATTGATTTTTAGCGGGAGATGACCCTTTGGCGGGAGTTGGTCGTTTTTCATTTGATTAGAGGTTTCCATATGTTACGTATCTCTACGCTAGCTTGACTAAATGCGTTGTTGGACAACATATACGCGGCTTCTTTGAATTTTCTCCTAAACCAGTGTTCCTCTTTGTGGATGATTTCAGCTTGAGCCCACTTGATATTACGTTGATGAGCTCAAATATGCTCTGCTATTCCGGATTTGCTGGTTTCTCCTCGCTATGTGTGTTTCTTGTGCTCAGGAATGCGAACTTTCAATGGCCTCTTAGTTTCACCGATGTATGATTCTCCGCACTCGCAGGGTATCCGGTAAATGCAATTCTTGGAATCGCAGTCCGCGTTTGGTGGCCTGGTTTTCGTGAGGCTGCTACGAATAGTGTTCCCAGATCTGAAGCAGGTTCTGATGTTATACTTGGACCCAATCCTTCATATCCTTTCCGATAATCCTCTGATGTAGGGAAGTACAAGTACTGGTTGTGAGGGCTTTTCTTCCTTGTGGAGCTCTTGTTGTCTTTTAGCTAACGCCTGTTCTATCATCACTCTGTAGTAACCATTTCGTTGAAGGTCGTTTTTGATGATGCCTAGTTCCTTTTCGAGACCTTCCTTTGTATTACAGACCCCGAAGGCACGGTCTATTAAAGTCTTGATGATTCCTCTCTTAGTTCGAATCGAATGAGCTATCGCTCATATTTTTAGGACCTTTATCTCTATTTTTCATGTTTTTGAACTTGATTAGAATATGAAGTGTTATAAGGACTCCGCTCCATCATCAGTAACAATTAAACGTTGGTGTGCTGCCTTCAAACGTAGTTGTAGAAACACCGATGATGCGAAACGCAGTAGACGTCAAAATGAGAGGAAGATTAAATTTTTTGATCTTTCTCTTCGAAGATGATCACTTGGTGATGAAACACGTGTCGAGGTGTTGAAAATAACAATTTGGTGTTGGGAAAGAAACTCCAGTAATATTCAGTACTACACTAAAGGTTCCAAACAGTGCATCATAAGTATATTTCTAACGTTGGATAAGAAAAACCTGACATTCATAAGGGCATTCATAACGAATTGTAAACCCTTCAGTGGAGGTATGAAGGTTGCATCGTTGCATTCATATTTTAGGTATCGGCAATAGTTGAACCGATGTTACCTTTGTCAAATTCGTACCACTTTCCTCTTGATGCAGAAGTTTTCTTTTACATTTCCAGTACATTTCCAACTTGTGCTGTTGATACGTCAAGCTGATGTACTCTCGCTGTATTGTCTGGAGTCTCTCATTCGAGACACAGTACAACTGCAGAGGAATAGGGAAACCCACTAAGCAGTGGCAGCCTTGGCACTAACAAAATTAATAGAGAGTCGCTGTCAGTTAAGTCGAACTCGATTGTTTAACCAGCTTCGAACCTACTTTGCGATCCTTTGATTTTGTACGTCCGAGTGAAAGACTTTTTTTTTCGTAATTGCAGGATCTGCACTGTATGTTTCATTTCCACTTTCATCATTGATTTTAGAATACCTACTTCTTCTCATACTCTTGTCATCTACGGGCTTTGTCTTCTTTTTCAGATTGGTGATTTATGACTTCTTTGTGGTTTTTGCGATTAATCTTAGCAGTCTATCTGCAGAAGTCGTAATTTTCTTCAGTTGTAGCGACACCTCTTCCTGAAAAAGTTTTCTCGAACGAGAGTGTCATTATTGGCATGTTGACTTTCTACTTTAACGTTGCTTCTTCAAATTTGAAAAATCATTACTTTGTTCTCAACTCAATGTTCTTCAACCTGTCGGTGAATACCTATAGGTACTCCAATCTGCTCCGCAAACTCTTTCGAAACTTGGGGTAGACCAAATCAGTTAGTATTTCGATACCTGCCCTAGATTTCTGTGAAATATTCTGAGGTTGTTTTTGTTCTGATCTTCTATCAGTTTTTTTCGAAGGTTTTGTCTGAGTTCGTTTAGTCGCCAAACTAACTATTTCTTCAGTTTCTCTTGATAGTACTTTATCTGTGCTTCTTAATGCGAAAGATATTTCAGCAACTCGCCCGTTTCATGCTTTTCTATTCCATTATTACTCCGTTCCTCTTCTCCTTCTTGATTCTACCAGTAATATAAAAGATACTCTCTCAGCTCAGTTTTGCTGTTCTTCGTTTCCTCTCCTTGCTTTTTCTTCTTCATATTGCTTCGGCATGCTTGTTTTCCCATTATCTATTTTCAATTTTTTTTGTGATTTCTTTCATTCACTGCTATTAATTAATGTCAGGTGTTTCAACTAATTCGCCATGAAATCGACTTCAACAGTGTTATCCGCTGTTACCAATGAATGCATGGGTCCTGAATGATAACTAGGTTGTACACTTATTAAAATTCAATAAATTTACTCGATAGTTAGAAAAATATAACTGAACCATCCTCGCTTCAACGACACTTTACAATTATTTCGCTTGTTCATTGTCGCTTGTAACCTGCGTTCTAATCTAATCTGCGTTCTGAATAACTCCGTCTGCAACTGCATATTCTTGAAATTCTTTGCGTTCATTAGAGGAACCTAACAGGTTAATATGGTTTCAGAAGTCGGATGGCCATGTTCAGAGGCCATTGAAGGGGTCAGCCCCAAAACATTTTTATAAGAGAATTTGACATATCGCTGTGCTATAACAAATACTAGGACAACTTGACAAACATAGTTTTGAGAAAATTGAGTTTTAATGTTGTAATTGTAGCTGATATTTACATTTCTCAAACTGACAATGTCATTTTATGGTGTTTGGTGTCTAATAAGGTATATGGAAGCCTAATGTTGACATCATTATTGTTATAAAGTGTCAATTTTGTTTTTTAACATTTTTTGTAAGGTATCTTTGTATAATACTGGGAAAAAAATATATTTTGAAGATATCTCGGTTTTTGCCCGAAGCTATCTCAGTATTGAAATTACTTTTTTGTTTTTGGTATAAGTTATTCCTNAGTAGACGTTAACTTTTTGATAGCTTTGAGGATAATTGAAGGAGTATGCGAGGTAATATGAATATTTACGATTCAAAACGAAGGTTCCTAGGTCTTGTTTAGAGGATTACTTTCAGAGGGTCCAGTAGTTCTGAATTTTTGATATGCTGTCTAGGATGGGTAGCCATTTTTTGAATATGAAAAAATTGCCACTTTTTTCGGATTTCACTTATGTCTCAATTATGTAGAGGAAGCATTTTTTTCTGCATACTTTTAAACGCTCTATTTCAATTATAGCCTATTTCAGAACAGCAAGTATCAGAATTGTCCTTATTAGGAATTCAATTACCTCCACCAGAAAGTCGGGGATCCTGCTGACAGTCCTCAAGAAATTTCAGCAGCAGGCATAAGCAACCAGTAACACCAAGGTCTAACTGAATAACCTCTGGAATTGATTCGAATTGTCAAAGATCAAATCGAATGAAGATACTGTAGAAGATCTCGAGGAATTGAGTATGATTGGTGGAGATGATATGGAAGAGATCGGGCATCCTCCGCCACAACAGATTCTAAAACAGTACCAACGCAGCACCTCTGGTGCAGGTGCACAACTGGCCCCAATTGTTCTGTCCATGAAAATTTGTTCTGATCAAGAATGTGATGGTATTCGAATGGGTTCTTAAGTAAAAAAAAGAGGCCGATCTAGATTTAAAGCCGCTATTTGATGAAAATGCAAAGCACGACTTTATAAGCTCAGCCTCCACAAAACCAGCAACGTACCCTGAAATTTGTTTCCGTGCAGATTTTTGTATGACTATTACCGCCTTTTGTCCTTAGTTTGTTCATGAATGTATCGGATATTTTGATGGATTATTCAAAATTAAAAATCTTCTGTCTCGTGGGCAATATCCTATTACAAAAGTAACATATATATTTTCTCCAATAATGCATTTAGTTTATAGTATCTTCATCGACTAATCAGTACCAAAACTTCAATGAATTGTTGAATCTTTCAAATGCTCCTCTCAATTAAGGTGTTACTTGACCCCCTCTTGCAAAGTTTGAATATTTTGAATGGGGACAGGGGATTGAAACGTTTTATGTAAAAAAATATATTTGAAAAAACTTATTTTGATTTATTTTTATAATGTTTAGTCCTATAATATTTAGTCAACTTCACTCTTTCTCATTTTGCTGAATCTAGTCTGGTAGACCATCATTTTGATACAACCCCTAATAAGTTACGGAAAATATTTTTATTTTGAAAATGTCTCGTATTTCAGATTATGTTTTGCCATCTGTTATAGTTTGCCCCGAAACGGAATACTTTTTTTGATAGTGATTTGTTCACAAACTTGCAGTTGTTTACATAATATTATTTCTCATGCAAATTATTCATTTTGTGTCCCTTGAATTAACACATTACCAAGATTGGTATATCAAGAGTTCGCCACTCAAAAATGCTCCTTTTTAAATAGAAAACCTAAGCTAATTGAAATTGAAATCGACTTATTTTTCAGTGTCAATGTGTTAGATATTGGACGAAAATACGAAAATTATTTGTTGTTTCAGAAAGTAAGAATCTGGGCCTTTGGTTTGACTCAGAACTCCGATTTCATAAACATATAAACAATTTGTGTAAGAGCTCTTTATTTTGCGTCAACTATATCATAGTAGAGATATAATGTCAACCAGATTCGAACTGAAACTATGCGACTCTCTTATTATGATAAAAATATCATATTGTGATTATATTTATGGTCCTGCATTGATACAAGCTGACGCAATGTGACTTCAGAAAGTACACCTGCTTGTGGCAACTCATAAAATTTTGCTGAAAAAGAAATCAGACTATCTACTAAAGAGATATGTGACATTAAGATAGTAATCCTTATTGACCGTACGACCATGTGGCAACAACTCCTCATGAACTATGTCACGGTGAGCACAGCCTCAATCACTGATCAAAGTTGGCATGCTATTTTTGATCTAGGCTCTCCTATGGGGATGATTGGACATTGGTTTCGATATCATAAACATGTACCTATTTGAATTGAAAAAGTATATTTTTGGGAGAGATTATTTTTTGGGAAAGAAAGTTTATAGCCTTCTACTTCTCCATCTTGATTCAAATAATGTGGGAATCTTCTAAAGAGCAAGGAGGCAATTAATAAACAAAATAAACTGTTCACAAATATTTATAGATCATGCGAAGAAGAAACTTTCAGACACAAACTGGAAGAAAAAGCCCTTTCGAAACAAATGCTTTCATAAAAACCTTGAATTACAAGGTAGCAGAGGTAACATTTCACTTACATAGAACATTGTCATCCTCAATGGCGGACATCGGTGTTTCAAAAGCACTCAATTCATTTATAATATTACGACTTTATTTCATGAATGACTTAAATATACTAGTGTCATCGATGACAGTACGCAATGACGTTATTTCGATTATTTGATTTAATACCAGCTATAGGAATTTTGTTTAAATTGAAAAAGAAAGATTAAATTTTGGGAAAGAAAGAGCACACAAGAAAAAGTTCTTTCGAAACAATTACATCAAATTATACAAAAGACCCTTTTTCCTATTCTGACATCTTTATGGACCATGATTGTTGTGTCAAATAAAATAATATGTTACACACCCATTTACTTTTCATAAACTTTGGCAGTTCAGTTGTGAGGGTGAAAATACACTAATTTTCAGAAAAATTTGTTACAACAATTGCCCATAAAGGCAAGCAAGTTACAACTACGCCCCAGTGTTTTTCCTCTTATTTTTAAGGATTTGCATTGCAACAATCATGGTAGTGGTTTATCTATTTTGATAACTGAATTTTTATAGGAATATCACTTTTTATTTTTCTGATGAATAGTAATGAATAGCATTTCAGATATGTATCATAGTACATCACCAAGACAGTGTTGCCTCTCGTCGAGAAAATACCCTTCTCTCGCCTAGCCTCGACTAGACGAGAATAACAAAAAGTGGTGAAGTAGATAGCCAAATCGTTTCGTTCTCAAAAATTAACGTCTCCTGAAAATATTCCCCTTTCAATTCAATTTAATTTTCTTACAAGTATCATCCTGACACTTTTTTCTTCAAAGTAGGCTATAACTGAAGTGCAACTTCCTAAAGTCAGCAAGCAATTTGAAAAATTTTCGGAAAGTGCGATTTTACTTTTTTTTCAACAATGACAAAATATAAGTGAAACTCTGTAGAAAGTGCGGCGAGCACGACCATTTAGAACTACCGAACCCGCTATTCATTGGACTATACGTGGACTCGAAAAAGTAATTTATAGGGTGCGTCATATCCATCCATGCATGCACTTTGGGCCAAATGGGCTCCTCCAGCAGAAGCGAGTGGTTTATTGACAATATCATTCACTGGAGGTTACATAGGAGCGCTAATTTCCATGCCCGTATGTTCTTTGATAGCAACGACTATAGGCTGGGAGAGTATCTTTTATATCACAGGTAAGAAAGTCCAGTGACTTGGCACATTTGACTCCACTTTCACTTTTCGTGAAAGTATCTATAGAAGAGAAACAAATCCCCAAAATTTATTCGATGTTCCAGACTATCAAGGTTGCAAGTGGAGATACTATGAAAAAGATGCAAACCCAATAAAATCTAAACAAAGAACAAAACGTGCCGAGAATTGTGTGGCATTAGGGTGGATAAGAATTAGAAACTAAGAACTTGAAAATGGAATAAGAAAAAGAAATTACGTTAAACGGTTTCATTGAAAGAGAAAAATGATGCAGATAATGTACTAAAAATTAAAAAGTANGACAAAAAATCTGCAATGTACGAACATCTTCAAGAATCAAACCACAATATGTAATAAAGGGAGAAAATGAATCTGTTGGAGAACATGGAAATTAACAAATCAATTAAAAACCTAAACGAGTAACTTGATTTCTGTAGGTCTCCTCTCTTGAATTCATGAACTTAACAACCACTTGAATTTTCATGGTGGTATTTTAAGTTGGCATCCTGTCTCTCAAGTACCTGTCCTTGCAGCATACCTGTAATTTCTAATAAAATCGATATTTCAAAATTCAAATTTCAGTTTTATACTAGATAATGGTATCAAACCCGAAACCGGTCGTATAAATAAAATTTTCCAGTGGTATTTCGACAAAAGTGTTTTTATTCATATCATTTAATTGATGAAGATCCATAGTAATTTCATAAACTTCATCTCACGATTTCATCTCCACAAACTTTATTTGAAAATATCACGAAATGTTTTGCTAATACAGTAGCTAGTCAGGTAGTATCATAATTACCTAAAATATCTACTAAACTTTCATATACCTACGGTTCATCCCCAATTATGATTAATTTCACTAGTTCGGACTTCCATTGTCTAATATATAAAATGATTTGAAATCCCTGAAACAACTAAAAAAGGAGAATTAAAAATGAATAGCTGAAAATAACAATTATATTAAGCAAAAATAACCTGAAATGAAATAATAGTGAAATAAAATACAAGTAACAATAGAACGATTGAACAAAAAATAAAGTATAAAAAAATTATAAAGAAATAAAATGAAAATAAAAGTTGAAAATNAATACTTATTCTTCTGTATCTTGGTGTATACTGATCGATAGAGAATTTTCTGCTCTTGATGCTGTTAATTTTTTTCGCCTCTTCTCAGCTCATCACTGTATGATGTCGTTAAGCGATTTCAGGCCAAGTTTTCTCTACTAATTCAAATTGAACCAAAGTGTTGCCAAAACAGCCTGAAAAATCAACTAGGCATTTGGCAATGACATGAACGCACTGAACAATGTTGGTTTGCGAAATTTCGTTCTGGAGATTTTAGCCTCGAAGGTGCGTGGTCGACCAGCAGTAATCCGGGACGAAGATTTGGAAACCCTGGTGAAGACTGATCCATCACAAACGGTGCGTGTGATGGCGGAAAAACTGGGCGTTAGGTCAGTGGGTGCCCCATGATCTGAACGATCGACAGAAATTTTAACGGTTTGCGGTCTGATCTTTTTTGCTTTTGAGCAACCAAAACGATCCTTTTTTGGATCGGATCGTTTCGTGTGATGAAAAGTGGATCCTCCACAATAGGAGACGTTCAGGACAGTAGTTGGACATCGATGAGCCACCCAGGCACTTCCCAAAGGCAAAAACCTACCAAAAAAGACCATGATGACTGTTTGGTGGTCAGCTACTGGTGTGATTTACTATCACTAACTGAGCCAAACTATCACAGCAAAGTCCTATTATGAGGAAATCGTCGAAATGTACCGAAAGTTGCGTCATCAACAGCCGGCACTAGAGGTTCGATCCTGCTCCACGACAAATCTCGTCTGCAAGTGTCACAAACCCCCTCCCAAAAATGAAACGAATGGAGCGTCGAAGTTATGCCTCACCTACCATACTCCCCAGACTTCTCGCCAACCGACTACCATCTTTTTAAGCATTCTAATAACTTTCCGGTTGAACCTTTGTGAATCAGGACCAGGCAAAACGGCTTTCGTTGACTTTATCGGTTCCCTAGCACCTGATTTTTATGTGTTACGTTGTTAAAAGTGCCATGGTTCAAATGGCGTCTATTTCGATTGAATGGGGAATGATCCTCAATTTGGGTTATTACAGCAACTGCAAGTTTGAACAAAATAAAGTTGAGTTTAATTCATGAGTTTTTCAAATGCACTTCGAAAATTATTCAAATTTATGTTTCAAATGTTGTGTTTCAATTTTTTAAGGGATATGTTTCTAATTCACATATTGGCAAAAGCGTCTATATCAAGTTGAAATAATTTATACGTACCTAGATATTCTACTTTAAAAAAGGAAAATTATCTAAATGAACCAACAATTGAGGCAAAATATAAATTATAGTTCAATACCACCTCCACAAGCCACATAAACAACAGTTGTCTTGTTATTTATGTATATAGAGGAAGATAGGTTAGGTGCACAAAATGTCATACGTCACAGAATGTCTGGAAACTCGAAACATAAATAAACAGAACAGCTCGCCGCTGAAATATGTCATCTTTGTTTGTCTCATACAGGTAACAGATTCATTGTGCTTTATTAGCTATAACCGATGTTGCCAAATGGTGAAATAGAAACGAATCCCTTTAAATGTTGAATGCATTATTTCATTCCTCTTTTTTAAGTATTTAAATA